GATTTTTACCACCTACACAAATAGGGTTAAAATCACACAAAATACTTGCAAGAGTATAAGGCTGTTGTAGTATAGATGCTCATGCAAGGTTGTTCTCCACAAGGACTATTTTAATAATTTATGTAAAAAAAGAATTCCTAATTAAATACTTAAAATTTAAAATTTGAGAAAGGAGTTTTTGAATTTGGGTAATATTAAAAACGAATTTTAATTAAAAACAAATAATAAATTCACCCAAAACTAATACGATAAAAGAAAAGAGTTTTAACAAATTTATAAAACGAATAATAAATACGAATTTATAAAAGCATAAGGGTTCCGCCATCACCTAGCAATCCTATGTATTTTTACCAATTACTTATGATCTACACATGCCACCTTGAAGGTTAGGTTTTCCTAATATATATTCTACTTGGAACCTCTAACATAGATCGTATATTTAACATGCAATCCGTCTAGACGTTTGGATCAAATATGAACATGAGAGACTCATTATGTTTTATGAAAACTTTTTGAAAAACCATGCAACCCTTAAGACGTGGTGTTCATCTTATGTGAAATTACAATTATTAACCACAAGAAGCCAGCATCAATTTCAGGGAACCTTCCAACCAAAATTGCATCAAATTACTTTTCTAAATATCCTAATGGTGATCAAGCATTAAGACAATTAGATAGCTTAAAGCAGTGATCAATAATTCAAAGCATGCATGCAATCAATCATAAGTAATTAAATAAAAATTACACATTCATGCTAAGGCTCAAGGCTTTGCCCTAGCAAACGAATTAGCTACACATATTCATAATTAAAATCATAGAAAATATTATTATAATGAATAAGAATGGCAACACCTTAAAGTAAAAATCTAAAATCCTTTAAGAACCCTAGCCAATTTCTCTCTCTTCAAAGTCGCATCCAAGAACCGTTTCATGAAAGCTAAGACCGGCAAAGCCTTATATCCACTACTATGCCATCTCATAATCCCTAAAACATAGTCTTTTGTACCAACTAGGAAACTAAATAATAATAAAATATCTTAGAAAATAAAGTCCTAATTAAGCTAGGAGAATCTGCAAAGGAACTGTCCAGCCACGTTTTGGCCTCAAATATCCTCCAAATCCTACCCATAAAAGCACATTATAAAGATTGGAAGGTTCTGAACACATCTCTAGAAGGCCACGAACCAATCAAAGGTCATCTTGAGTGCCAAAAACGCAATTCAAGCCCAAAAACGTCACTTTCCAGCACCGCACACTGCTCCTTTATTCTATTTCCAGAAAACCACCTTTGGTAGAAAATTTCCGAATTTTGACACAATCAAGATAAGTGACTCACGAACGTCCTCCAACTAGAATTACTCCAAAATTCATCCATTTGATCACGTTTTGCTCCAAAGGAAGTTGAAAGTCCTATATTGAAAATACAATTTAAAGTATAAAAATTATTCCAAAATATATTAAGAATAGGGTTAAATATATCTACTCATACGTTTGCGCGACGAAGTGTTTTCTATTCGTCGCGCAATACCTTTCTTTACGAGCCTTGCGGGACCAACTTGGGGCGATGAAGTTTTCGTCGTTTATAATTTTAGGCAGCGAATTTCTTATTTACGCGACGCTTTCTTGTTCGTCGCGATAACTATTTTATGTAGTAGTGTACCCTAATGGTGGCCAATCACTAAGTCAATTAGATAGTTTATACTAGTGATTAATAATTCAAAGTAAGCATGCAACCATTCACAAGCAAATTAATAAAATCACATATTCATGCTAAGGCTTATGGCCTCACCCTAGCAATAAAAATTAGTTATTATTATTAAGAAAAAGATCGAAAGCACCTTAAAGTAGAAGTCTGAAATTCTTCAAGAACCCTAGCCAAGTTCTTATCTTCCAAAATCGCATTTGGGAAGAGAGAGCACTAGGGCTGGCCAAAGACCTTACTTATTACATAAGTATTCCAATTATCCCTAATAAAAGTCTTAGGATCTAACTAGGAAACCAAATAATAATAAAATAAAGGGAGACTTTGGATGCGGTCCCTAACTATGAATATTCTTTGACTGAAACCTTGTTGATTTTCAATTTTTTATCCAAGTCCCTGAAATTAATGTGATAATTTATTTATATGTACGTTACTATATTTTTTAAATTAAAAATTGAAATTTATAGTTGTTTATATTAATGAGATTTTAAATAACCATAATTTGTGGGATTAAAAATATAAATATACTATTGTGTGTGTGTGTGTGTGTGTGTGTGCGCGTGTGTATATATATATAAACATTGTACATTCATCAAAATTAATAACAAAATTATTGTATCAAAACATGGGTACATTCTTCAAAATCACAAAAATAAAAAAAAAAGAAAAAAGAAAGAAAGATATTATGTCACATCCCGGCCCGGGTGGGACGACTTCCCGGGCCCGATCCACCACCGTAGCACGATATTGTCCGCTTTGGGCTTACCATTCCCTCACGGTTTTGTTTTTGGGAACTCACGAGCAACTTCCCAGAGGGTCACCCATCCTGGGAGTGCTCTCGCGCGCTACTCGCTTAACTTCGGAGTTCCTATGGAACCCGAAGCCAGTGAGCTCCCAAAAGGCCTCGTGCTAGGTAGAGATGGAATATACATATAAGGATCAGTCCCCTGGGCGATGTGGGATGTCACATATTAGGTTTAATAAAATTAGTAAATTTCTTCGATTAAACTTAAAATGGATATATTCTCAAATCAAAGAAAAAATAATGTACCCTTATAAGTTTAAAAATGGATTCGAAAAAAAATTGAATAGATTATACATATATATATATATAAGGGTACATTTTACATATAACAAATTGGTATATTTAAGAATGAGTACATTTTAAGATTAAAATTTTGAAAAAAATTACATGAATGGTACATATAATTAGCATGGGTACATTTAGCAAAATTAAAAATGAGTACAAATAAATAAAAAAATATGGGTACAAATACAAATAAAACTTTATAAAATATGGGCACAAAAAGAAATTAATATATGGGTACAAATTAAAACTGAAAAGAAAATTGGTACAAATTAAAAATGGGTACAAACTAAAACTAAAAATATATGATAAAAAATTTAACCAGAAATATAAATATACTAATTGTAACATTTTTATCATTAAATGAATATATTTTGAAATAAAAAATATTTAATTGTTGAAATAATTAATGATGCTATTAATATCAAGGACCTTGATCAAAAAATGAAAATGAATAAGATTTTAATCAAAGGAGTAGCAAAAGGAAGGATGTGAACCTAATTTTTCCTAAAATAAACTATAAACAAAATCCCATTAAGCTAGGAGAAACTGCACTGCACCGGTCCAACCACGTTTTAACCCTAAAACTCCTCCAAATTCGGCCCATGATTGTTTTAAAGATTGGAACAACCTAAACACATCTCCAAAAGGGCCCGAATCCAAAATAGGTCATCTTGGGCTCGAAAACTCGCAATCAAGCCTGAAACATCACTTTTCCAGCGCCGTGCATTGCTTCTTTATTCCATCGCCAGAAAACAACCACTTAGTGGAAAAATCTGATATTTTGACACGATCAAGCTCAGCGACCCACAAATGTCCTCCAATTGGAATTACTCCAAAATTTATCCATTTGATCATGTTTTGCCCCAGAGGAAATCAAAAGTCCTATATCGAAAATACACTTCAAAGTATCAAATTTTTTCTCAAATAATAACAAAATAAACTAAGATTCGGGGGAAAATATGTAATATAAAATGGACTCGTCAGGAATGCTCCTTAAACTGATTTGATGTAATTTGATTGTATGATCTGACTAGAACATTTTTCTTTTTACCTTATGCAATGTGTTAAATTTAACCTAATTTACATACCGCCAGAAGTTTATTTGGTGGTGATTACATTCCATAGCGAAACGTTATGGACTGCACCACCAGTTTTGCATTTCGGCATTGTTACGTAACATAGACGACCTCACCAAAGTTTTTCTCCTTGTCAAGGATGTTGTGGGCAAATTAAGGCTATGGACCAAGTCTACTTGAAGGAAAATCCAAAGTCCAACAGCCAATGAATGAGACTTTGACAGAAAGCAACGTAATAAACAAAGAGGGAAATTGCTTACTTGACTCTCAATAAACTGTGAAGTCTAGGTCAAGAGGGATTTCCGGATTCAAATTGTGGGAATCTAAGGATTCTCACATCCTAATTGTTTAGTATACATCGTGCGACCATAAATTATTTAAATTTTTTTATTTAAAATTAAACATAAATAGTATCTAATGAAAACTGGTTGCACGATGTACGATAAACGGTTAGAATGTGAGGATCCCTAGGATCACCACAAAGAAGATCCAGAAAGGATCCTTATAATAATAATATAGGGCTAGGGCAAGTACAAGAAAACCAAATATATCAAACCCGTTTTATATATTTGGTTTTTTGTATTAGTTTTTATAGTTGACATATGGGTAAAGCATCTTGAAGAGGGAGTTGAGGAAGGATGTTGAGAGATCTAAAAGAAGCGCATAAGAAATTGTACAAGTGCTTATTGTAACTTGTTTTACTTTTAAGATTGTGTTTTCATTTATTCGTTTTTATTTATTTTCCCTTCCTCACCACCCTTCTTCTGCTCCCCTTTCTCATTTATAATTCATAACTCAAACACAAAAATTGAAAACTAAAAACTGAAAATCAAATAGCCATTAAACAGACTCTAAATTGTATATCATTGTGTTTCATTCCCAATTGTTTTCTTCATTCTTATCAATAAAAATGACAAAAAAAAGAAAGGAAAAAAAACACAAGAGAACGTGTTGAACGAGTCACGCCAAGCGTTTGTTTTAACTCAAATTTTCTAGTCAAACTTGGACAAAAGAAATGTCGAAAGTGCTGTCCAGAACGTGTTGAACGAGTCACGCCAAGCATTTGTTTTAACTCGAATTTTCTATTCAAATTTGGACAAAAGAAATGTCAAATTTTCTCTGTGTGTGTGTACTAATACAAATATATAAACATATGTATTTTGCCCCTTCAAAGCTTTCGTCTTATATATTACTCGGTCCAAAACATCAGCAAGTATCACTTCTTTGTAATCCCTTCAATTCTATTCAGACACCACAAATTTCCTGGTCAGAAGATGGCTAGCTATGGCACCGTGCAAAGGCCGTCCACCACCTCAACACCACCACCTCCACCAACTGCCACTGATGATCTCAATCAGCGGAAGGACTCAACCGGAAAAAAGCGCAACGACTCCAAGCTCTTCTGCCTCTTCAACATCCCCGCAACCCCAGAAGCAACTGCAGTTCGAATCGTCAGAAACTTCAGTTATTTCGGTTTGTATTACACACTCTTCATATTGACAATACTCTCTATAACCCTAGTGCCTCAGCGCAAGGATTCCCTAATTTTCTTGACGGTAATGACTGCCAGTGGGATGCTTGTACCTCGTGCTGTTAAGGGTAGTACCTGAATCTCTACTGCTGCACAAGACCGTCGAGAGGCTGGTGGTGCTGGTCTTGTTGGCCATCGGGACGATGATTGAGCTCATACTCACGGATGCAGCCGTACATTTGTTTGTGACTTTGGCAAGTGTGATACCAATTCTTTTGGTTCATGCAGTTTTTAGGGTTAGAGATGATGCTTTTGTTGAGGAGGCTGGTGGTTTTGGTGAATTCGTTCCCCTCACAACAACCGATGAATCCAAGTTGTCCGAATCAGTTTGATAATTTTGGGGATTTTAATAGTAGTACTTGAGTTTGATCAAGAAAGTTGTAGCTCTATAGCTAATAAGAGTGTTTATCTTTACACCCGATGTCCTTCCTTCAAATTCCCGTTATTCGCTTGTAACAAAAGATTATGGTAAGAGATATTTATTTAAGACAATACCTATTTTGTTCGTTATAATCCAATGATCAAAACTGTTCAATTTAATTTTTCATATATACTCTTGCAAAAACTGGGTTAAACAAGAAATTATTTTGCTATTGAGATGCTAGCAACCTTCTCATTTGAACTTTCTTGTTCTACGTTCTCAGCTCCTCATCTTGCAATCTTACTTGATGATCGGAATCATTTACTTTTTATATCACCCTTTAAAGATTAACTCCACAAAAAAGTCAACCAACAATCAGATATCATTTAATCGTTTAATTAACATTGTTAAAATTTTGGTGTTTAAGTGAGAAACATTGTTTGTCTATTTATTGTATAACTATTAGATGACTAAGAGATTTCTGGTTTAGTTAATATTTTGCATAGATGATCTTTAAAGAGTGATCTAGAAAGTAGACGGTTTTAATCATTAAGCAACATTGCAAAATAACGATAAGCGAAAAGATAGAATGAAAAGGTCCAAATAAGAAGGTTGCTCGCATTTTTCTTAACAGTTTGATTATCCATAGTTTCATTTTAGTTATCCAATAAAATATAGTTTCTCAAAAATTTAAGATGACCGATTTGTCTTGGGAATTTTTTATGTGATGATTTTCGAAGAAAAATCTAAAATATAGAAAACCCTAAAAATACAGAAAAACCTAGCTTTTAGAAAAATTTATGACGTCCTTAACATAGAAAAAGCTCTTGGTTCTTGGGGTGGCAAATGGTTGGGTTATTAAATCGAAATCAATTTTGTATAACATTATTCTAGATATGCAAATTAATAAAACGGTCTAGTATTTTTTATGTTTGAATCTCGTCATCTACCAAAATCAAACTTGGCACTAATTACTTATGTATGAAACCTCTCTTCTCAATACTAAAAGATAGTCAAAATTCAAAATTCTCTTTTCATTCATAAAAAAAAACGATTATTTTAGACGAATTTTGTGCTTAATAATGTGGGTGAATCTAGCTTTATTGTTTGCATTAAAAAAATAAAAAAAATAAAAAAAATAAAAAGATTGTTTAGATGCATAAAGAAGAAAGGCATTTTAGTCAAACGGTCCTTAAAATTGGCATAACTCATTGGTTCATGAGATTGAAAACTGATAGAAAATCATTGTGGTTATTCTGTGAAAAATTTGTTAATATCCTCGTTAAAATTTCATGTGAGCAACCACGTGACTATCTTTTAAAGAGTATTTTTGTCAAACCAACCCTTTTATTTAATGAGAAGATTTTGGTGAAGTTTCACCACCTTCACATTTTTACAAGTAAACACATCTAATATGCTACTAGACCTCTAAGAATAAGTATTCAAAAAGTTCAAATGCTCATTGCATCTCAGTTGTGCGCATTTTTCATTTAAGGAGTGTTTTAGACACTTATTGGGTCAAAGATTGGTGGTGTTTCACGGTCTTCACACATTTTGACAAATAAACATAACTAACATGCTACTCGACCTCTTAAGAATGAGTATTCAGTGGCCCAAACGCTCATTGCATCTCATTAGTACACATTTATTTTTTAATTTAATTAGTATTTTAGGTAGTTATTGGTCAAATTTTGGTGGAGTTTCTTCATCTTCTCTATTTTTACGGAATTACCAAAATGATATACGATGGAAAAATTTAGAAGATTTCAATTGATTTTCATTGTTAGAGACTAAGTAAAGAGTTATGACAATCTCATAAACTATTTAGCTAAATATGAGGGTATGGTTTGACAAAATATCCTGGAAAAGGTGGTCACTGATCACTTAAGTGACAATTTAACAATGTTGTTGACATATTTTTTATAGAATGACTAAAATGATTTACGGTGGACAAACTTAAGAATCACTTCTAGCAGTTTTCAATCGCAAAGATCAAAATGAGTAATGCAAATCTAAATGACCACTTTAACTAGAACGCCAAGAAGAAAATAAGTATCAATAGGGCCCTGAAGTAATTTCACAAACTTTATCTTCCAACGCAACCCATCTCTGTTACGCAAACCAACCCATCTCTCTCTTCCCATTTCCAATAAACCCTCCTCCTCCTCCTCCACTAAACAAAATGCTTCCCAAAACTTCCGTCCACCACCACCACAACGCCACTCTCTCCTCCTCTCTCGCCTACGCCCTCCCCTTCCCGTACAAAATCCCAACTCTGACCCTCCCCACTTTCATAAATTTCCAAAAACTCCCCACCATCTCATGCTCCATATCCCAAGTCCACAACTATGGCACTGTGGACTACGAGCGGAGGCCCATGATCAAATGGAACGCCATTTACCGGAAAATATCGCTCACGGAGGATCCCCAAGTCCGGTCTGCAGACGTGTTGAACCAGTGGGAGAAGGAGGGCAGGAAGCTCACCAAATGGGAGCTTTGTAGAGTGATCAAGGAATTGAGGAAGTACAAGCGCTATGATCGAGCTCTTGAGGTACAAATAAAAGTGAAATATTTAACTGAAAAATCTTATCTTGTGCTGTTATTTTGTGGTTTTAGGGTGTTCTGGTTATTGGGTATTTCATGGTTTTGTGGGGAAATGCTTCAGTTTAATCTTGTGTTTTTATGCTCCTGGGTAAATTCTGTATTGGGTTTTTTTAATTTGGTGTTTCTGAGTGTACTTTCATTGATAGGTAAGTGAAAAGTCAAATTTACTGTTTAAATTGATTGGTCTGGAAGTTTTGTTTCTCTAGTTTTGGTACGATCATGCATTGATATAGGTAATGCAGTTCATATGTTTCTCTAGGTTGTAATATCAGTATTCGGAAACTCTTGGCCTAAAATGATAAGCAACCAGTTACCACTACCGGTTTAAAGGCCTATTTTGAGTCTGTTAGCTGAAAGAACACTGAGATTTTTAGATGTTGATATGTCTGGCGATTTCTTATGTTAGAATGCATGTTATAAGATAACAAATCCCCAAGTATATTGTGATTGCGAAATGGAAAATGTCTGGAAAATATGTTTTCATTACTGGCCGACTCTTAGAACAGTGAATATGGCCTGAAACTTTTTGTAATTTTCGTTTGTAATTGTTTAGTGAATGTAAGAGGCCGACTATTAAAACTTCTCTCGTCACCTTCTAGTGCAATTGAGTCAAACCTTCAGTTTTCCTGATAAGCCAATATCTGCAAATGAAAATATAACTTGCATACTAAATTTATGTATATCATAAGGGCTCTAGCCTGTATGGAAGGTTTTGACTCATTTGAACCCAAACAAGAGAGATTAAGATTTTATCACTGAATGAAATGGAGAAGTCTGAGGATACAAGTTGTTAAATTCTAAATTTACCTGATTTGCCGTATTTTTCGTGCACCCTGCAGGTGTATGATTGGATGAGCAACAGAGGAGAGAGGTTTAGAATATCCACTAGTGATGCTGCAATTCAACTAGATTTAGTTGCTAAAGTTCGGGGAGTTGCTAGTGCCGAAAATTACTTCCTGAGCCTGCCAGATACATTAAAGGACAGGAGAATATATGGCGCTCTACTCAATGCCTATGTTCGGGCAAGAATGAAAGAGAAGGCAGAAGCATTACTGGATAAAATGAGAACTAAGGGACATGCATTGCAATCTCTTCCATTTAATGTGATGATGACACTCTATATGAATCTCAAAGACTATGATAAAGTTGATTCGATTATTTCTGAAATGCTAGAGAAAAACATTCAGCTAGATATATACTCCTACAATATCTGGTTATCGTCTCGTGGATCCCAAGGATCTGCAGAACGGATGGAAGAGGTTTTTGAAAAGATGAAAGTGGACAGAACCATTATTCCCAACTGGACCACATTCAGCACAATGGCTACAATGTACATCAAGATGGGGCAGCTTGACAAGGCTGAAGCTTGCCTAAGGAAGGTTGAGAGTAGAATCACAGGTCGGGATCGGATACCTTATCATTATCTCTTAAGTCTTTATGGCAGTGTTGGCAAGAAAGAGGAGGCTTATCGGGTGTGGAATGTATACAAAGCAAGTTTTCCCAGTATTCCGAATTTGGGTTACCATGCTATCATGTCTTCTCTACTCAGATTAGGTGACATTGAAGGGGCTGAAAAGCTTTATGAGGAATGGCTGACGGTTAAGTCAACATATGACCCTAGAATTGCAAATCTTTTCATAACATTTTATATTAAAGAAGGGGATTTTGTTAATGCCCAAAGTTTCTATGATCACATGGTTGATGTAGGAGGAAAACCCAATTCAAGTACATGGGAGGCCCTTGCTGAAGGGCATATTGCAGAGAAGAGAATTTCTGCGGCATTATCCTGCTGGAAAGAAGCTCTTTCTGCTGAGGGATCAAATAGTTGGAGACCAAAGCCCGTAAATGTTTCTGCCTTCCTTGAACTCTGTGAGCAAGAAGCTGATTCGGTAAGCAAAGAGGTTTTCATGGGACTTCTGAGTCAGTCAGGACAGCTTAGAAATAAGTTATATGTATCACTTCTTGGCTTAGCGGATGAAGATGTTAATGATAAAACTAACGTTAATGAGGATGATGATGAGAAGGCTGATGATGGATCAGAATTTCTTCTGAACCAATTGTAGGGTACTACCCCGTGATACTTCTTTCTTGAATGTTTGGGAATATCTGCTCTAACTTATCGGGTGCAGCGAATGTTTTTCACTGAACTAGGTGGGTATATACAAGCTGCCAAGTTGACAGGGGCTTCATATCAAAGTGAGTTTTGACCGGAAGACTACTCTGCAGAAGAATATGTCAGTAATTTGTGCGACTGGAGACACCATCTCCACTCCTCGTATGCAGTGAGAGTTGGTATGAACTTGATGTAATTTTGTGTAGTTAAAGAGCAAGACGCTATGCAGTCAATTACATATGTATAAACTTCTAAATGATATCTTAATATATTCAATTCTCTCTCTCTCTCTCTCTCTCTCTCTCTCTCTCTCTCTCTCTCTCTCTCTCAACATTAAGTTGTTGAAGGGTTAAAACAACCAAGGTGAAAACAGCGTGCACATTGATATGAATCCGAACACAATCCAATGGCTGGATTATCCAAATTGTTACTATTATTATTACAAACCATATGCATTACAAGATGGATCATCAAAAATTTCCACATATGGCAAAGGCTGCAAAGAAACTCCTAATATATGAGACTAAAAATTACTTCCCCCCTCAAAGGTTTGGCCAAATTGCCAATTCTTTGGTGCAACATTATCAAACTCAAGTGTTTTCCCATCACTAGTAGTAACCTGGAATGACAAGCCTTGCCCTACCATCTTGCTTCCCGTCTGCCAAATTTGGCCCCAGTTTCTTGACATCTGAAGCCAATCAGTGTTAGAGCCTCTGATTCTGACACTCGTCACATCTCCGGCGCCTCCGACATTGAAGACCAACACAGCAAGCCAGTAAGGATTTCCATGGAACTCAAATTTAACCCCTCCTTGTTTGGAGCATGGGACTCTTCTGTACCTGATGGGTATTATCCCAGCTTTGGCCTGTGCAATCTTTGTGAACATAGGCATGGACAAGTCAAAGTGTTTTTGTGGTGGATTGCACCAGTGGGCAGCAGCTGGGTCCCAGTTTGGCGGACAAAAATTGGTAGCTGTTATTTTGATAGTCCCAACATTAGGAAGGCACCATTGTGGATCATCGACGCACATTACCTCGAAACACGCACCGCAAGTCAGCCCGTTGTTGAATAGTACTGTGCTTAGGGCTGTTGTCTCCAAGCCATAGCCTTGTCGAAAGAGATCACCATATCCACATGCCCCTTCTGTTTAAAGTACAAGAAATAGATCAAGTTAAAATTATCAATCTATCGAAAACAAAAATTTTGTATGCGCCATTTATATATACATTCCTCTCATATTATGTACACCACCGAGTGGATTTAGTACTACTGTGAGAGATAGCAAGGTTATAAGTAACCCATGTATATATTGAAATATACTTTACTTACTCATGGTTTCTGAACCACTCATGTCACCATAAAACGTTGCGTGAGCGTCTTCCCAATCGTTGCTTGCGGCTTTCTCGCCAATGGAGGTTTTGTTGCCCATGTTTGGAACCAAAAGAGTGACGAGCACTATCCATGGAAGCAAGTTCTGAAACTTAGCCATGACTGTATATTAATAGTCTGAGAAAACTAGAACGGTATTGCATTTCTAGCACGCACGCTCACATGTATATAGTGCTGGTCTTTGCATGCCCATTTGCCATGTGTAATGAAGTTAGTGTGGCGGTTGGTAAATCTAAACATGCAAGCAAGGACCCTGTAACCATCTTCACATTATGGCAGTTGCTTATTAAATACAATTAACGTTAAACTTGGCTGGTAATGTCTTTATTGGATTAAGTCATCACAGATTTAAAATCACATGCAAGAACCATACCATAAATACCAAAGCTGAGGTGGATGGCATTATCTGCATGGTAGTTTATACCAAGTATAATTAAGTAGGGATCTGTTTTCTTTCCTTTTCTGTTTATTTAGTTTTGTTTAAAGTGAAGCCTTTTCTTATACAAGCGAGATACCAGAAAGAATCAAACTTGGAACTTTGGATGCAAGAATTAATAATATTTTTTATTAACTAATTAAGTTACAAGCCTTTTGATATGCTGCATAAATTAGGAAATTCTTAAACTCTAAATTTTTATTTTTTATACAAACAATAGTATAGAGGACAGAACGACCACAGAACCTCAAGCGGAGGAATTAATATGCTTTTACTAGCTACAAGCTCATACATATATATATATATATATATATATATAGAATAAACACGCTCATGAGACACAGTTAAAACAAAATGCATAAGGAAAAGCTAGAAGAAAGGATCAATATTTTCTTTACTAGAAGGTAAATAATAATTTTAAAGGGTCACATTCTTTATGTAGGCTCCAATAAACTTTGCCAAATAATAAGGAGCAACATCAATTCATATTCCTGATCTTTTCAACGACGAATTGGTTAGGAGGGCTAATAGTCACTTCCACCAAATTGTTCTACACAGAAAAGGAAAATTCAAACTTTGAAGTAAGCCAATACGCCTACAAAAGGTGCATTGATATGTATAGTTGGCTCCAATTGTGGAACGTTATATCGAGTCTCTTGAAATGTATCATTCTCAGCAGGCCCTCCCACAATTGCACCTATTAATAAATTAGGGTTTGGATCAGTGTTTTTTTTTAGTACATCAATATTTTTACACTAAGGGAAGGGGAAGTTCGTGCAGCCTAATTTTGTATCGAACTCACCATCCACGAGATTCAAACCTAAAACCTCTCACTTTCAAGTGAAGAGGAATATCACTAAACAGTAGTACTGAGTGGCTAGATCAAGCTTTTAAATACAAGTATCCTTCATCGCACTGCATGTGTTGTGGGTGCTTGATCCATAGAAGGTATCATTGATCCCCGGTGATGTATTTTCCGAGGGAGGGTTTGCCCAAATCCCTCCATTTATGACATCCCTAATGGGTTGCTTCAAAGTATATAGTCAACCTGCATTAACATTACCAATTAAATTTCAGCCACAAGTTATAATGTAACAATTAAAAATTTAATAGGTTTGTTCGTGTATACATGTAATGTTAAGACAAACAAATATGTTGTTAGGCTGTGTCTAGACCGGACATTCTGACAAAGATGAACGTAGTTAATAGTCCACATTTATAGTCTGACAACATAAGCATTCTTAAATACATTATAACATGACAATATTTATGTTATGTTACATGGAGACATATATATATGGGTTCCAGGTGTACTGTCCTGAAAATGGTGTCTCCTTCATGTCTCTTTCTTTCTTTTTTAAACACATATTGTGACATCCCACATCGCCCAGGAGAGTGATCCTTAAATGTATATTCTCATCTCTACCTAGCACGAGGCCTTTTGGGAGCTCATTGGCTTCGGATTCCGTAGGAACTCCGAAGTTAAGGGAGAAAGGGGGTTAGAGCAATCCCATGATGGGTGACCCACTGGGAAGTTGCTCGTGAGTTCCCAAAAACAAAACCGTGAGGGAATGGTAAGCCCAAAGCGGACAATATCGTGTTATGGTGGTGGAGCGGGCCCGGGAAGTGATCCACCCCGGGCCAGGATGTGACAATTTGGTATCAGAGCCTAACCCTGGCCGCGTGTGTGCCGACGAGGACGTCGGGCCCCTAAGGGGGGTGGATTGTGACATCCCACATCGCCCAGGGGAGTGATCCTTAAATGTATATTCCCATCTCTACCTAGCACGAGGCCTTTTGGGAGCTCACTGGCTTCGGGTTCCGTAGGAACTCCGAAGTTAAGCGAGAAGGGGGTTAGAGCAATCCCATGATGGGTGACCCACTGGGAAGTTGCTTGTGAGTTCCCAAAAACAAAAACCGTGAGGGAATAGTAAGTCCAAAGCGGACAATATCGTGCTACGGTGGTGGAGTGGGCCCGGAAAGTGGTCCGTCCTGGGCCGGGATATGACACGTATAGTCATATGTAACTTCAATTTAACTCTGTTAACTTCTAAACTTTTAATAAATAAATAAAAGAAAATAATAAAATTAAGAAAACCTAGCCGGAACAACTCCTCGGTTTCCAGTTTCCAGTCCCCACCTACCCCCACCCCCTCCCTTACCCATCGCCAGCCCTGAGCCAAAGCCCCTCTCTCACTTGGCTTACTTGGCTTACTTAACTTAAGATTCAGATTGGTTTTTCTACCTGTCTTCGGTGAAATTCTTCGGCATATCTGGAGTGATAACAACATTTTTGCCACAGTTCAGTTGGCAGCTTTCATGTAGCCAGCATAAACTAAAAGAACTGATAAGGACGTTGAATGTTGCAGGTTACTTCCTCCAGGTCGGAACAATGGCCCACCATATATAAGACAGAAAATATATGAAGATAGTGAAAATACACACCGATCTTTTATGTAGATGTTAGAAAACTTTATATATATTCACACTCTTAGTTTATTATCGTGCACTTCAAAATCAGCAGTTTACTATTTTAAAACATGCACATAAATAAATGCACAGTGACAAAGTAAGAGTGTGACTTATATTTCCTGTCTTTAACATAGTTTGAATACTTTACGATATTGACTCACATTTTGTATAGCTAATTACATACATAGCTAGGACAGTTTTAGGGAACTGCCTGGTGAATATGTGACTGATTTTGGAGCAGGTGATTCAGGCAATATAGAGCATATTAACTCGTCTGCCTTGGTAAAGAGACTAGAAATGTTGGGATCAGTCATCTCCCACTGCAAATAAAGTAAATAAAAGAAGAAAATTCAGCTGGATTGATAACGTAACGTAGGTTCATCAAAAGAGAAGAGATGAAGAAAATGGTGTTATTGTGAACTGAAAACTGAACTCAGAAACAAGTATGTTAATTCCAGAATGTTTCGAATCCCTTCCAAATTCAGTGACAGCACCAGCTAAGTACGGATCGCCATTTACGTTTCTTATTACAGTGGACTCCAAGTAGTGTAAGTTAGTTTTGAAATAGTCCCAATAATATGTTGGAGCAATATTAGAAAATATGAAATAACATAAAAATTCCAAAAACAATAATCATAAAGAAATTCACAACATCATTATGTATGAGATTAATAAATATAACTAGATAGAAAGTTAAAAACACTAACAAACTTGGAGATTGAGGCTTACATAAATGCAATGACCTAAAGACAGAATTTCGCTCGTACTCTTGTGCTTGTAGTTCGGTAGGCATCCATCTTCTTGGATTCAACAATCTATAATCCAAAGTCGAAGCACTTTAATCTTCGGATTTTATCGAACTTCATATATTCCGTACTCTCAAAACACTACTCGGAAATTGACAAACGAAGAATTAGAACAACAGAGTGGGGAACCCTATTTCTCAAGAGTAAAAATTAACTCTAATTTTCTATCATATAATACCAATGGTTTCATGGGTTTATATAGAACCCAAATACTACTTATTAAAGAGATTTAACTTTTCATTTATAATTATACATCATTTAGCAAGGAGCACCTAAACAACATAACCTTTCTAAGAAATATGGTTAACACTATTTTTCATTCAATTATTAAAATTATATATTACAATTTTCATATTATAATACATAATTTCCAACATAATACGGTGCCTTAATTGGTTACCTTGTACAACTACGCAGCTTCCCAGAGCAATTCATCCTGCAACAATTTATTATTAGTCACCACCAAATTTATGCCGAAAAAAAAAAATTTGTTTAACACCAAGTATATATTTTTTTGGACATGTAAATTAAATTTGGAAAACAAATTAAGGTCCCGTGATCAATTAGTTATATACCATGTACCCACTGAAGTCGCACACGGTCCTTTACCAATACTGTCGTTGTAAGACCCACTATCCTTATCGGCGAATTCAAACACCTGATATTCAAACAAAGAACAAATTACTAAACCAAAAGTTTCAATATGCATGGAAGAAAACATAGGTAAAATCTCATATGTTGTTTTTTGACAAAGCGAAAGTAGTAGGTTAAGGGATCACGAACAGTTACCCTTAAATAGAATTCTGGAATACTAGAGAATTGAGAAAAGCACTCGAATTTTGATTAATAATATGAAAGATAACAAACCTATAGGCCAAGATTGGTGTGGCCTATATTTAATTGAGAGAATAGAGGGTGCGGCAAGAGTGAGAGAATAGGCTTGAGTTTGTGTTATTCCCTAGACCTTGATTTATAGTAATAAGGAGGAGAGAAACTTGCTCTCTAAGTAATACAAAGTTTAATTGGAAAGATCTTCTAGATCTAGAAGGATTCCTAATCTATCTCTATTTAGGATTTACACAATTACACATGTATTAGAATGTATATCACAACACTCCCCCTTGAGTGTGAAAATACTCAAGTAGATGACGCATCAAATCTTCAGGCAAATGTAGAAGCAGTTCATGAAGTTATCTCGTCTAGTTGGCACAAGTAGCAAATGCAAGTCTCAAAACAAACAAAAGAATGCATATGTGGTAAAACTCACAAAACCTCGCTATGGAAAAAACCCACGGTGGGATAAAAACCCATAGTCAAATGAGAAAAGTGAGAGTTGCATTAAGTCAAAACTATTCGTCTTCTAGACGCAAGTAGAGTGCTCACAAG